CCCTTTTAGAACAAGAGGTAGACTTACTGACATTATGACCTGCAATTTGTTAATGCTACAGGCAGAACACATGATGATAGGAGAAGATGGGCTGTTGAAAACTTTGATCTTTCATGGTTCATGTTAAATAGGATGTATCAGAGTTGCTACTTAAATAAACATCAATAAATAGTTTTATGGAACAGCCCTTTGACTTCCGTATAGTATATTTAACCAGCAGTAGAGCTCTGGTGCCATAGTGCCTTAGGTATTTGACTGCTAACCAGAAGGTCGGTGGTTCAGACCCACCAGCCACTCCTCAGAAGGAAGACTGGGCAGTCTAATTCCATAGTGATACTGCCTCAGAAACCCAAGGAGGGGTTACTGTGAGTCGAATTGACTCAACAGCAGTGAGTTTGGTTTGGTTTTAGGGTTAAATTGTCAAATGGCTTTTAAAGAAGGGGTGAGGGGTAGAATAGCCTTTTGAATAAAAAAAGAGACCCAGTTTATGGTTCATCTTTTCACTCCACTAATTTTATTGGGCACTGCTCCCAGGCTGGACCATGTCACAGCACCTTGTATGGGGGTATTTGTTTTAAAGTACAGATTCCTGAGCCCATTTAGAGCTTTAGGTGTAATAGATCCTGTGGCAGGGCCCTGGGGAGTCACATCTGTACTCCCCCCAAGGGAACTGAGGCAGTTCTGCCCTCATAGAGTGCGAAGCTCTGTGGAGAATTAAAAGGAAGAAACAAGCTTGCTTCTTGTGCTCAATGAGCTTATCATTTAGTTAGTGAAGAATACGAGTACATGAATCACTTTTGAAGGCAGAATGAAGTGATTGTTAACTAGAGGTACAGGCAGCAAGTTGTGGGAGTGACTGTGTCTGACCAGAGGCAGCAGGAAGGTTTCCCACATATGCTTGACATTTGAATTGAGCCTGAAAGAAGAAAGCTGGGACTTGAGTGGGTGAAGAGGAGACCAGGGTACAGCTTAGTATTAGAATATTATTCTGTTTGATGTAAGGGAGTTATCGTGCACTCCCCAAAGCAAAATTGTTTTCCTCTTAATCGTTAGTGCAATTTTCTTTCCTTCCCAGTCTATGTTATTACCTCAAGAGTAAAAGTAAGTGTTGAATATTTGTTTTGTAAGATCACAACCCCTACAGATTGATTTGCACTGTCTTTGAGGAACTTGGGGCGGCCCCATCTTGGGTGAGCAGAAATGCCAGTGGTTTGCATGTCAGATGGGAAGTAAGCTCCAGTTGCAGATACAACCCAGTTATGCTCTGTGGTTTATTATGGGCTGAAGTTGTCTCCAGATTTATTCTGGTTTGAATCTGGCAGAGTCCCACTCAAGAGGGGCAGGAGGCGTGATGAGGCTTTCTGAAAAGAGGAAACACAGTGCCTGTATGGTTTGGATTGTGTCACCGCCAAGACATGCTGAAGTCCTAATTCCTAGTACTGGGAATGTGACTGTGTTTGGAAATAGGGTGTTGGAAGATGTTATCAGCATGAAACCATACTGGAGTACAGTGCATTCTAATCCTGCATGACTGATATCCTTACAAAAGAGGAGAAAAGACAGAGAGATAGATAAAGAGGGCAGATATCTGGGTAGCAAAACAGATATGCTGCAACTGCAAGCCAGGGAACCCCTGGGCCGCCAGAAGCTCAGAGACCCCAGAAAGGATCTTCCCTAAATCCTTCAGAGGGAGCATGGACCTGCTGATACCATGAATTTGGACTCCTAGACTCCAGAACTCTTAGGCAATACATTTCCATTCTGATAAACCAACTACTTTATGGTACATTGTTACCGCAGCCCCAGGAAAACAATACCTCCCCCCGCCCCCCAAAAAAAAAAAAAAAAAACCATCGCCATCATAGGGTTTCCCAGGCTGTAGATCTTTAAAGAAGTGGACTACTTCATCTTTCTTCCACAGAGTGCCTGGTAGGTTTTAACTGTTGACCTTTTGGTTAGCAGCTGAATGCTTTAACCACTGCACCACCAGAGCTTCTTGGAAAGCAATACAGTGCCCATCTATTACAGTTGATGGTCTACTACTTAAAGTCCTTGAACTTTTAAGCAGAGTTTGTCAGAATTAAGCTATTTTCCTGGTCATATCTATACATTGGAGTCTCAAACTTAAAAAATAAAATGGCTCCAGAATTTTTTATTTTTAGCTGTTTACCTTCCCAAAATAACCTTATGGGGTGGGAGAATAATTACAGAATTTTCCTCTTATTTGGATAGGTCCTTTCTGTTAAAAATCTGCATACTGACAGTTTGGAAAGATTTTGTTTAATTTGTTGTTGTTGTTATGTGCCATCGTTTAGCTCTCTTAAAAACAAGCCTCCCTCCCCCCATAACATTGGTTCTATTTTTCAATAACTAACTGGCTGTCAAACTTGGCTTTCCTAGAGGTTGTTTTTGTTGTTGAGAATACAGAAGTCCTGAATCTCCCCTGGCCTGGGGGCATCTGGGCCAGGCTGCCTGGGTGGGGCGCAGGCATTTTTCTTTCAAAAGCTTATCTGGGTAACTCTGAGCTTATCTGGGTAACTCTGATCATGTGCAGCCCAAGGACCAAGGACCAAGGACGGAATGGAGAATCTCTAGACTGATCTGTAGGGGCTCAGGGGCATAACTTTTTCACACCCAGGATAGAGGAAGGAGGACAGATACACAACCCTCAACCATTCATTTCTGACTTCAGCCTTGCTAAAGGCTTTACCCCTCTGCACTAATAATCTTTTTTTCTTCTGCTTTCACTTTTCTAAAGTTCCACTTTAAAATAGAGGAACACTTTAAATATATATTAATTATATATATATTACCTATAGTGTTCAATGGGAGCTCTGGTAGTATAGTGGCTAAGGCACTTGGCTGCTAACCAGAAGGCTGGCGGTTCAAACCCACCAGTCACTCTTGGGAAGGAAGATGGGGCAATCTACTTCCGTAGTGATACTGCCTCGGAAACCCAAGGAGGAGTCGCTATGAGTCGGGTCCAACTCGACGGCACATAACAGCAACAACAACATAGTGTTCAATTGGAATACTCACGGCAAAGAGGCCTCACAGTTACCTAGAAGATAGAGCCTGCAGTCTGTCATTTGTTATTCCTGTGTCCCTCGATGGATGTTCCTGGTATAGGAAAAAAAGATAGTTACTGGGAACTAGCCTTAGCAATTTTACAGGCTTGAACAATACCTAAAACCCTTTCCCAAAGATATTGTCTCCACAGGATCATCTGGCTTTCACATTTTTCCCTGGCCTGTAATGAACTCTTGCCTTAAGGGGACTATGCACTGAGCCTCCCACACTTACACACAGACTTTAAGTTAGTTTGGTCAGGATAATGAATGACATAGAGAGTAAACCTAGAGCATCATGCAGTGCTCTCTGTGCAGCTGCCATTCTGGCCCCCTTATCTGAGGATGAGCTCTCACGGTTGGCCAGGGAACATGTGTCAGGTAAACATCCTGCATGCCAGGAGTGACCACACTGACTTCTGCTGCCATCCCGGAGCTTAGAGGAAATTTTCAAGACAAGTGGTGAGTGGAGAAGTGTATTTGAGGTGTTTTTTGAGAAACACCATACTGGAGGAGTCATCATGAGAACTAGTAGTTTTTTCTGAATGATCCTGTTTTGCCTGTCATGTGTGACACTTCAGCCTCCTAATGTGCCATAGCATATCATCACCTGGGTGGGGAGGGTGGTGGGAACCAGGCAGGTGGGAACTGGGGAGGGCCAGGAGGTAGAGAAAGGCCCTTGCTGGTACTCTGTTGTTTGGGGGCAAAAGCTGTACACAAAACAAAACAAAACAAAATTTTGACATGGTTGCTTTAAAATCCTCATTCCTCAGCTCTCTTGTGGACAGTGGGTGTAATACCATTCACTTGGAGCTAAAATGGAATGCAATGATACAAAAATGTCTAGAGTAGTGACTTTCCTCATGTATACCTGTCTACCACTGCCATTTCACAGGAAGAAACTCAGTTCACACGGGCCTCTCTGATGTGTGGTTGGTGTAACCTGTTCCTAGAAAGTAGATGATTTGGGGACAGGTAGTCTTAAAGTGGTATAGGAGTTAAGGAAGGCATTTGGCTGCTAACCAGAGGTCAGTGGTTCCAATCCACCAGATTCTTCTTGGAAAAAAGATGGGGCAGTGGCCTTCCCTAAAGATTTACAGCCTTGGAAACACAGCAGGAGTTGCTGTGAGTCAGAATCAACTCGATGGCAGTGAGTTTGGTTTTTTGAGTCTTAAAGTAGACGAACTCTGATGGCACATTGGTTAAGCACTAGGCTCCTAATGGAAAGGTCTACAGTCTTCTGAAAAGATTACAGCCTTGGAAACCCTGTGGGTCAGTTCTACTTTGTCTGGTAGGGTAACTGTGAGTTGAGGGCAACAGATTTGTTTTAGGGTGTTAAAGTTAATGCCGGTATACAAGTGGAGTTGTGCAGAAGCCAGATTCGTTTGCCATTCTCATGACTTTAAAAACCACCTTCCTTAATTGTTATCTCAGGGCCTGAGATACATGAAGCTGACATGGAAGGCTATTTTCCCTATATTTTCATACCTTTGCTTTAATGTCAGATTTACTTCACAAATTAATTTAAAAAAAAAAAAAGAGTTTACTTTGGATTTGCATACTTGCTTCTGAGTCAGAAAGATCCATCTTCCTTATGTTTTGAATGCTTTATGTGAGATAAATCTTTTCAGAAAAATAAAAAATTCAGCTGAGTAATCATATTGACCCTAGTTTGAGGAGGAAGAAGCTCACATAATTGGCACAGCATGTGTTTTGGCTCCAGATAATTAGACTTTCTATTTTTGTTGAGAGTTCTTCTAATTATAAATGTACTGTGAATTATAAATGTTTCTGTGGATAATAATATGCTAACAACTGGAATTTTGGTGAAAGCTATAGTAGTACCTTTGTGTTATAGTAAAATTTCTAGGAGTTCAGAATTTTTTTAGTGTTTTTCTTGGAAATAATATACTTCTGTTTTATCTATTTTAGTTGACCAGATATATCACCTGGCATCGCCAGCTTCCCCTCCAAACTACATGTATAATCCTATCAAGACGTTAAAGACCAATACAATTGGGACATTGAATATGTTGGGTAAGTTGTCATTTCTTATTTTGCTGCTCTTGTGGAAAATATTTTGGAAGATTTCAACCATAGGTAGGTAGTTTGATCTTGGTTATTATGTCTTCTCCCTCTTCCTCCTGCCAGTGTTATTTAACAAGTTTTCATTGTTATTTCAGTGTGACTTTATTTGCCATCAGGGTGATACCTCTGTAATGTCCCTGAGAGTTCTAACCTGCATTTTACAGCGATTCATATGTGTGTGTCCACACATACTATGTCTTAGATGTGCAGCTGTGGATAATATGCACATGTTAGTGAATCACGATCCGGGTTCTGTTCGGTGCAGTATGAATCATAGACTCAGGTTGAGTCAAGGAAAGATGCTTTATTTTCAAGGCCAATCAAAGGAACACCTGGGACTGTCACCAAGGAAGTTCAGTGAGGTTCAGGTTACTTTCATTTTTAAGCTTGCAGCAAATGGAGAAGTTATGATTATTCATGAGATTTCTGGGGAAGGGTAATGATTATGAATTAGAGGGCAGGATCAAAGCTTGACATGGAAATGGCCAAAGGACCCCTTGGTTCTGAAATACGTCTGTATGGCACAAATGACGGAATTCCAGTGAGATTTGGTTCCTTGACATGAGTCTTAATGTTTCAGGAACAGCTAAAAGGTAGAATTGCTTTCTCTATGCTTGTGTGTCCTGTTCTGGCTGGATCTTTCAGGTTCTAGTCAGGTCAACCTCCTTGCATTAACTTGTGGGCAAGTGCCAAGTAGATCCTGGAACTAAACTAAAAATAATGATTAACCTATTCACAAAGTAGGTAGTGTCTCAAATTTTTCACTGTTAGTCTAAAGCAGTTTTCCACTGTCAGCTCTAAGTTCTCTAGTAGCCGCCTCATACCCTTCTTTTCTTTTCGGGGTTTAGGTTAAACTAAACTCTAACTTTAGGGAGTGCGGTTGAAAGTCTGTTCTATATCTACTTCCTGCTGAAAAGGGGCATTCAAAAATTCCTCCCTGCCATGCTTGCTGGTGTTAGAGGAAAAGAGGGGTACTCCTGAGTCATAACCATCTGGAAATGGATTTGCCATGCTCTGGAAGAAACAAATCTTACTACAGTATTGATAACACAAGGTCCAAAAAGAGGTAAAAGCAAGACGATAATTAAAGATCCCAGTATTACAACGAAAAAGGATTTCAACCATCCCAAGTTTGGATGCCATGAAGTGAGCCAATCAAAATTGGGTCCATGAGACTTTAAAACTCCCTCAACTGCACTTCTATCCTGGTATACTTTGTAAAGAATCTCATTAATTTTCTTTTGATCTTGAATGATTTCCCGTTTGATCAAAGAGCAGCAGGTGGCATTAAGATACACACACTCTCTCCATGTGAGGCTAATATGAAGTTTAAAGTTGCTTGATTTTGAAGGGTAACAGAAGCAATAGACCCCATTTCAATAGTTATTTGAGAAGAAAATGACTTGGTCATATTAGCTAGTCTCTAGCACTGTTGACCAGCTACTCCTTGGAAGGTTGGGCATTCTACTTCCGTAGTGACACTGCCTCAGAAACCCAAGGAGGGGTTCCTGTGAGTTGGGGCCAACTCAACGGCACATAACAACAACAACAGCACTACTGAGATATTTTTAATAAATTCATATAATACGTAGATAGATGTTGTCATAGTTCTTCCCTGTGCCCATCATAGGAAGGAACATGCTCTGTGCCATTTCCCAAGCAGATGTAGTGAAGTTGGGGAGAGACAGCCCCCTCCTTGCCCTGTGCCTCTTCCTACTGGACTATGTTATCTCTGATAAAGGGCACTGGATGGGTTCCTGGTGGCCAAAGCAACCCCAAAGTACATATCCATGAATGGTTGAAGGGCTAGTTCTTACAGACTGTATGCTCACACAATCAGTACAGACCTTGGTGTCTTAAAAAACAAGAGGTGAGGGGCAACTGAATAGCTGCTTTAAAAATGCTCTGGTCAAGTTCAACAAGACAGAAAATAACAAATGCTAACAAGGGTGCAGAGAGATTGGCACTCTCATACACTGCTGGTGGGACTGTAAAATGGTACAACCACTGTGGAAAGCAGTATGGCAATTCCTTAAAAAGTTGGAATTGGAAATACCATTTGACCCAGCCATCCTATTACTAGGTATATATCCTAAAGAAGTGAGAGGCATGACAAGAACAGATATGTGCACACCCATGTTCATCACAGCACTATTTACAATAGCAAAAGATGGAAACAACCTAGGTGTCCATCAACTGAAGAATGGATAACCGAACTATGGTACATATACACAATGGAATACTATGCAATCCTAAAGAATAACATAGAATCTGCAAAACCACCACATGACGTGGATGAACCTGGAGGACATTATGCTGAGTGAAATACATCAATCACAGAAGGACAAATATTGTATTAGTCCATTATTGTAAAAGTCAAGGAAAGATTTCTATATGGAAGGAAATTTTCTTTGTTGGTTACCAAGGGTGGGAAGGGAGGAGAGAGAACACTGTTAGATAGGTAGAGGTAAGTATTGATTTGGGTGAAGAGAAGGGCAGTGTACCAAATGTGAGTGATCAACATGGTGACATTGAGGAAGAAGACATAGAGAGGTACATGGGAGGTGCAGACAACAAAGATGAACCCTTTTGCACGTACAGTACTGTGTTGTCAGTGAAGGCACACATGGGTATACGAGTGGATGGATGTGTGGACAGGCTGAACTATTAGCTATGTCTGTGCAGTAGGGAGTGTACCACTGCACAGGGGGTCCACAACCATGTATAGGGTTGGCAGACAGTGGTCCTACAAGTGTATTTGTATGTTCTATAAGAATTCCCAGGTGTATAATAGAACTGACAAGGGACAAGGTTGTAGTCACTTCTTGGTCACAGCCAGCTACCCAGAGGGAGCAAGTAGTTGAACCTATGGGCTCGGGACCATAGTCGCAGGGGACATCAAGTTCAATTGTCATAACATACTACACAAAACATTGTTCCATCTCCTACTTTGGTGAGTAGCAACTGGGATCTTAAAAGCTTGGAAGCAGCCATCTAGATGCAATGATGGGTCTCTCCTCGTCCAGAGCAAAGAAGAATGAAGAAAACAAAAGACACATGGAAACAAGTAGTTCAAGCGAGTGGTACACTGTGTGATCCTCAGTCTATATGACTATGAGACCAGAACTACATGATGCCCGGCTACCAGTCAACCACTTGGAAGGGGATCTATGTAGGAGATCCTGGATAGAGAGCGAGAACAATGTGGAACAAAACTCAAAATCATTTGGAGGAAAAAAAGGGGGGGGGGGGACCAGGTTTGCTGGTCTGATAGAGCCTGGTGGAACCACTGAAACTATGGCCCCCAGCTGCCCTTCAGGTCTGGAATTAAACCCATACCTGTGGCTTCCAGCCAAATAAAAGACAGGCATATGACTTGAACATTTGCCTGAGGTAGATCCACTCCCTGGAGAGAACAATCATGGGAGAAAGAAGGGCTGTTTATGCACAGGGTGACAGCTCAAGGGGCAGGAGTACATGGAGGGATGGGCACAGGGAAGAGGTAACTGTCAGGAGGAAGTGGGAGGGAAGCTGTTGCATTGTGGTAAATTGTAGTCAGTGTCATGAGACAAAGTGTATGTGAACTGCTGTATGGAAAGTGAATTTGCTCAGTAAACTTTTACCCAAATCACAATTAAAAAAAAAAAATGCTTTGGTCAGTTATATTTTCCCCATTCACTGCTGTCGAGTCAGTCCTGACTCATAGCCACCCCTACTTGAGTTTCTGAGGCAGTATCACTACAGAAGTAGATTGCCCAGCCTTCTTTCCAAGGAGTGGTTGGTGGGTTTGAACCTCCAACCTTCTGGTTAGCAGTCAAATGCCTTAGGCTCTGTGCCACCTGAGCTCCCTATATTTTCCCAAAGCAGGCTTTAATGTAGTTCCATTGAAATTTGGACAATATTCCCTTGAGACCAACCTCCATTGCTATATTCGCCTATGGAATTATAGGTGGGCCACTTTCCAACCAGGATGTTGTAAGTGGGGATCCAAGCAAGATACCACGCTGCCACCTGCAAGGAGCAAAGAGTGTCATACTGAAGGGTTCTTAAAGACTTGTTCCTATTAATCAAAGAGGGCCCTGCCAGGTTCAACCAGTAAGCCTTATGGTAGGGTAGAGGGATTATAGGCAATCCTTGTCCTTTATGTGATGGAGAATGAGAACAAATCCAACAATTGTTAAGCCTTGTCACATTTGCCATTTGCTGATGGAATCAGGTGAGCATATTAAAATTCCATTCTCCATTAATAATGCTGAAGGAAGAAATAGAAACTATTAACAATAAAATTCTCATATTGAACAAAGGGGAAAGCACTCACCTCTTAACATAATATCCGCTTATTAATTCTAACTAAACTACAAAGTATGAAATGGCAAAAACAAATAAAATAAGTTCAATCTCAGTCTACAGTCATACCTACTTATCTATTCGTGGCTTCTCTTATAAAGCTATTTGAGTCCTTCCAGTGGAGCTGCCTCCCAACACTCAGAGACACTGGTTCTGGATGCTCTCTGCTGAGTGATCTCCAGTACAGGGGCTGTCTTAATCCTAGTGTGGTATATCCACACTCATTTGCTGCTCATTTTCACTGCAGTAGGTGTGGACACCAGGACTTCATAGGGTCCTTTTCCACTTTTCTTTGAGGGCCTCAGGTTTCCAGGCCTTCATATAAACCCAACTCCTGGGGCTCAGCCTTGTGTAGGGGGACTTCGGGAAGCAGGCTGTAGGGCTATCACATGCCATAGTTGGGCATGTCTCTACCTCTACGCTTCTGCTCATGTATGGCTCATTACCACTCTCTGTTTTCTCTAGAGTTAACAAAGTAGTCAAGAGTGACTGACAGTCAGCCCACATTGGGTCAAAAGAGTTACAAATAGAAATCAGTAGTTCACACATTTTGCCTGGGTCCTTTCAGTAGCCTAGTGCTAAAGGGGCAGGGAGGCACCATG